GCAGAAAAACACCCAGTTGAGCCCAGCCAATCCACAGAATTCTGACAGGTAAAAATGCTATTGCTTTTGTGGTTTTTGTTGGACAGAAATGGATAAGTGAAACGTGATTTTGGTGAACTCTCCCTCTTCTTCTGTTGCATGTAATCCTTGGATAAGATAAGGATTTACTGATCCTTGAAGGTTTAATAGGACTTTGTTAAAATTTTGGCTATGGCCTGTGGGTGGGTTTATGTGTGGGAATAGATTTTGAACATTTCTTTGATTCTCTCTGGAAGGGATTCCAAGAGAAATTTGCATGATGTATGCTTTTTCATCTTGTTCTCAGAGTTTAGAAGTTGATTTAAATCACTTTCCAAGAGACAAGCTCCACTGCAATTATGCTTGTTGAGGGAATAAGAGGGTATTGATACAAACTGATCCCTGTGAGACACAGAAAGCCATGTCCTCAGAAGGTAGTTTGGTGGGTATGCAATCAGAACGACAGGTATTTTTTCACTTTGAGAAAGGTTCCTCGAAGGTGTCCAGAAACACTTTCTCCTCCTATGCCATAGGACCTATGGGGATAGCCTTACAAGGAAGCCACGATTCTTCTTCTTTTTTTAAATATTGATTTGAGAGAGAGAAACATCGACTTGTTGTTCCACCTATTTATTCATTCATTGTTGCTTCTGGGGGTCGAACCTGCAACCTTGGCATATTGGGATGACACTGTGACCAACTGAGTTATCCAGCCAGGGCGAAGCCAGTATCCTTGAGTACACTTATACAGAGAGAAGATAAATATGCATAGCAGTCCTTGACTTTTCTACCTGTCCCAGTGCAGCACTGCCAGTTGTATAAGTCTGTCTAATTCTGCGGCTCATTAGTAGGAAGCCTTCTAGCCTTGTGGCAAGTCTAAGCGACATTGTCCAACATCTCCTTGTTAAGGAACAAAGTCAATGTGCTGTTTCTCTCCTTAATCTTTTGTCGTACTTCTTAGATTGTTCTGAGTTCAGAAGTAGAGAAGTGTTTTTGGGGGCTCCCCAAACATTTTGAAGCAAGAGCATAAGAATAGTGGAGAGCCTGCAAGACACAGAAAAAGGGAGAAGAGCTGTGGATCTATTTTTAGACCCATCACCAGGGCAGAGTAAACCACGTCTACAAAAGGGCAGCTTGCTCCAAGAGCTTTAAAGGGAGAGGTTCTGGATTGTGCAACATCATCCTTTCAGCCTCACTAATAAGGTAATTGAGTCTCAAGATAGACAAGGGGGTGTATAGAGAGGTTAGATATGTTTGCTCATGGACACCCCTCCACACGTAAGATGTCGACAAAAGGTCACTGCCACCAATTCAATGCCACCAGGAATACCCATTCCCGGGAGCAGAGAAGGGAGAGAATTGACCTGAGTGAAAGAGCTAAAGTAAAGCAGCCTAAGTATTGCAGGGTTGAGCTCAAGTCTGGGAAACACAGCTGATAGTGTGTATCACAGAGACAAAAAGGAGGCTGGCTTATACAGAGAGAAGTTGCAGCTCCCATTCCCTGATTGGTCCATTCTATGCAAATGAGGACTCCAAATCCATATATTTTGGTTGGTCTAAATACCACTGCCTTGATTGGCTGACTCCCGGCATTCTGATTGGTTGTCGTGGAGCCCCTCTGATTGGTTGCTGAATATGCAAATGAGTACATAAGTGCACTGCTCTGACTGGACAGGGAAGGTCTCCGATCCGCTGGCAGAAAATGCCAGGACCTTATTTTGAAGGGTCCGCTCATCAGGCAGGACCACAGTGTGGGAGGCCTGGAAGTTCGTCAGCATGTGACATGAAGTGTGCGCGAGAGGACTCTGTATATAATGTCTGCCAGAGTCTAGTTATGAATCGGGGTCCTGTCAACCACCACAATCTCTGTTGACAGGTATATTCTTTCTCAGTTGAGAGAGACAATGTAGGGAATGGAGGATGAGAATTTTCCAGAAAAACAACAAAACACACACACACAATGTATGGTTCAACTGACTAAGTTTCTGCCCACTAAGTGACTGTAACATTTGAAGCTTGAATCCCTGAAAGAAATCTTGAGAGGAGATTTCTTTAATGACCTTTTTGGTGTATGTACCTAGATGATTTAGTTCCATGATGATGGTCTCCGAGATACCTGCAACACATAACTAAGAGTACTTAGCACGGCCTGTGATTTTACACATTCACTCTCTTATGCGAGCTCATTTCCAAGACCCCTAGGGTACCTCCGTGGGTCTGTGTACTGAGAGTACTCCCTTACTGTCTCTTTAAATCAAACAAAATTCTGGACGACAAGGCGCATGCTCTGTTCCAAAAAACTGGGCAGATTTTCGCCAATGGCCTGGGTCCATTCTTGGCAACCTCAACAGCTAAGGTGTCTCGCTCTTGGTTATGGGCGGAGTTTGGGGAGGGTGGAAGGGTGTGCAGAAGCATTTCCGGTCTGAGCGTCGCGGGTGCCATAGAAACCTGACGTCAGCGCGGCGACCATGACGACTTTTTACAAGAGACGGACGTGCCCTAGTGAGTTCAGCAGGTCCCACCTGCAGGTGTTTGGGACTCAGCGGAGGTTGGGTGTGCCCACGGTGGGGCTGAGCCATCCAGCGATGTCGGAGGACAGAGGGCATCCAGATCCAAGTCACCTCTGTCCCGCTTTGGGGTTCTGGGGGCTGGCGGCCCCGTTGGTAAAGGACTGCGGTCCTGCCAGGCCCTGCCGAGCGTGGTGACCTGCCCCAGGGGTGCCCTGCAGCTACTTTCCTTCTCAGCTGAGGGCCAGGGCGCGGGAGGTCAGACCTGCCAGGGCTCTCTCTGAGCCCCAGCTTCCCCCTCTGAGAACCGCGGAGGAGAATGCCTAACGCACAGGGTCGCCCTGAACGTGCAGTGATGACACGTGAGGAAGCCCTGGGCCCAGAGGTTGTTGCGGGATCCTGATGCCCGTATGAATTCAGGCCGCTGCTTACTCCCGTTCAACTTTGCTGTTAGGGGATAGAGGAGGGAAGGAGAAGAGGCTCTGTGAGAAGCCCGTGATAACATCTGGTTGTGAGCATCACTGCCCACGTGTATTCGTGTCATCGTCACTAACCCAGGACCTAGCACGCCAGACACATAGTGACCCCGGTAAAGCATAGTGATGCTGGATCTGTCTCTCCCCGTGCGGGTCCTCATGCCAGTGGCCGCATCCTGTCAGGGGTCTGAAGGAGGCGGGTTCCGAGAATCTATCCCCATGGCTGCTGAGGCTTCTACTCCAGATTCAAGGGCAGCGATCCCCGGGAGACCCCCAACACCTCACATCCGCAGTGGGACAGGCTGGCCATCTGGCTCGTGAGTTCATAGATCTGATAACAGCATCTAGTGCAATCGCTCCTGTGAGGTTCACCAACCAGCCTCCAAGTACAGAAGCTGCCTTGATCTCATGGGAGTGGGGCGGGAAAGAGGTTTAGCCTGTGGAATGTCATTCCATCAGCAGCTACCTGGTTTGTGCTAGCCCTGAGGCGCATCTTAAACATGTCCTCTTTTGTCTACAAGTAATAAACTGTCCACCCAGAAGGAGGAATGTGATCTTTAACATGCACTTGTTTTCCCTGGGTAATATTCAGTGATTTCCATGGCTCTTTTAGATGTGTGTTGAAATAGGCATTTGGTTAGAAAGTCTTCCTAAATATTTGACATTGTTATATAGTCTCTTCCCCGGTCGGCATCCATTCTATAATAAAAAAAATTTTTTAGGAAGTCAGGATTTTTCAAATATTCCTTTTCAATGTCAGTTAAAAGAAATTTTTATTTTAAGTAATAATTACTTTAGCATGTCTTATACTGATACCCAGCTATTATCTCCTAGAATAACCAGATACTCTTAAATATAGTCATGTTTACTTTTCCAGTGCCTAGCAGTTTCAGTTCTTTATTACCTGGCCTTGCTCCCCTTCACCTTGCTGTGTACCCAGGCAATCACTGATCTTCTCTCACTGTAGATTAGTTTTTGTGTCTTAGATCTTTATTTAAATTGAATCAAACTTTTTTGTTTGTTGATTTTGGTCTGGCTTCTTTCATTTAGCCTATTGAGATTCGTCCATAGTTTGCATGTATCAACAGTTCATTCCTCTTTATTGATGCATAGTATCCCAGTATATAGAAATTCTACAATTTGTTTGAAATTTGTTGTTTTTTAAACGAAAGCTCCAATCAACATTGGTGTATAAGTTTTTGCATGGGCATGTGCTTTCATTCTCCAGGGTAAATTCTTAGGAGTTCAATGGTTGAATCAGATGGTAGATGTAAGATTACCCTTGTTATGAAACTGCCAAACTAGTTGTACCATTTATCATTGCCACTAGCAGTGTACATGACTTTTGCCCTCCACAACCTTGACAATGCATGGTATGGTCAGTCTTTTTATTTTTAGCAGTTCTCGTGAGGATAGAATGGTATCAAATTTTAGTTTTAATGGATAATACCACACTACCTTGATTATGGTAGGTTTATAATGAGTCTTCAAATCCTGGCACTCTCCAACTTTATTTTTCTTTTTCAAAGTTATTTTTCATAACCTAGGTCCTCTGCATTTCTACATGAACTTTAGAATGGGTCTGTTGATTTCTTTAAAAATATTCACTAAGATTTTTATTGGGATTGCATTGACTATATAGATCAATTTGGGGGGAAGTGATATCTTAACAATATAGAGTCTGCTGAACCACCAAGATAGTTTTCTCTCCATTTATCTAGATTTTCTATAATTTTTTTGAGCAGTGTTTTGTAGTGGTCAATGAACAGGATTTGTATATCTGTAGAGAGATCATCCATAATTATTTCATACTTTTTGATACTATTGTAAAAGGCATTATTTGCCAACACAATTCCCAAATATTATATTTTTACTGAACTGTCAGCTGTCCGATGTTTAATAACAACCATTGCATGATCTTTTTGGTCAACAGCACAGGCTATTCTAGAATTGAAAAGATACTTGATGCGCAACATGAATTTGACTGTGTTTTTATATCAGTTTCTAGGCATTATTGGTAATGTGCTGATACCAGGGAGAATAATGTCACACAGAAAATTCTACAGGTCATCTCCAGAAAAATCCATCACTCAAAGAAAATACTTATGGTAATTTGCAACTTGATATGTGTGGTTAGAATTGAACCAGCTGAATTGTGTCGGTTTCTTTTGTCCCCCTGCAAATCCACCTCAATGAATTCCTGGGATCTTGGATGGTGAGACAGATAGAAGGAGAGGGCATGTACGTATATGAGTAAGTATATTTGTATGTGTGTAGATTGTGGAAGCTGCCAGGAGTCATTCTCGTGAGGAATACTGGAGTTGAATTACTGTGATAAATGTCCGTCCTATTTAATTCCTAGTACACCATAGGAACCAAATAACAGTAGTAGTAGTTGTTTTTTTCCCAGCTTCACTTAGCTAGCATGGTTACCATAGTGAGTCCTGACTGTAGTGGGGTTTGGCCCAGATTGAGCATCATTTTATCCTCTAGCCCGAATCACCTATTGCTATATGTGTCAAATATTGCTTTTCTGGTTTTCTCATTCTTTATTAATTGAAATTTGACTGGAAGTAGAACTTTCTCTTCTCCTTATTTATTTATTTATTTATTTATTTATGTCATTATGACTCATAGGTTTCTATTCTGCTCTAAGTGTAGCTATCTGACACTATAATGATTTACTTTGATGCTCAAATTGTCACAGAATTGGCCAATGAAAGAGCCGTCAAGTTGGCTGCTGTTTCCATTTGACATCTCCTTGGGATTCTTTGGACATGTACTTTGTTCTCTGAGACTATCTCCAAATTTATAGAAAGGAAGTAATGAATCCCACCTCAGAGCATCTCTTTGAGGAACCGAAGAGAAAAAGTCTGCAACTAACACAGCCTACAACGTGTGGCATCTAGTGTGCCCTCACCCAATGTTAGTTCCCATTCCCACTTTGCCTCTTCATTCTGTCAGTGTGATACCTCTGGCATTACCATCATAGCCTGACTACCAGAGAGAACACTGGGACATGTAACAGCCAACAGGGACGAGCCCACATTTCCACCATGTGTGAGCTTCAACGTCACTGCTGTGAGGGGAGGGTCTGTGTGCTCAGCTGGGGAAGAGGCAAAGCATCATTGCACAGCTTCTAGTGAACTGAGTGGGACAGGAAGCACATCCTCACCCCTTTCCCTGCATTTCATGTGCTTTCCCATCCTCTCACGTCCCTCTCTGTTCCATGTGCTGTCTTTTCCCCTGACTCTCCCTTCTAGTGGAATGTCAGAGAAGGGTGTGGAGTCTGGGCCCCAGAAGAAGGAGCTGTAGACAAGAACCAGGAGTGATGTCAAGTGTGCTAGACGGTTCCTGGAGCAAGAGTGAGGAGTCCCATCATTGGGACTCTTCAGGTAAGTCACTACCCTTTCCTTCAGCATCTTCTGTACAGCAGTATAACAATACCCATTGCTGTTGACCGCCCAGGAACATTGCGGAGTTTAAGTGTGATCCCATGTAGGAAAACAATCTGTGGTTGTGGGAAGGAGGGAAGAACCGGTGCACTTTCGAGTAATTACATTAATGGAGCCCCACCCCCACCCCGGATACCAGGAAACTCTACATGATAGACGTGAAAGTAATGCTACACAAATGTTAGCTGTTTAGGTCAGGATTTCTCCAAGTGTGGTCCTCAGAACACTTCACTGAAATTGTCAGGGGGTGCTTGTTACGGTAGCAGATTTGCCCTGGCCGCGTTGGCTCAGTGGTGGAGCCTCGGCCCGCAGGCCAGTGAGTCCAGGGTTTGATTCCGGCTGATAGCAGGTACCTCGGTTGCGGTTCGTCCCCTGCCCTGGTCGGGGTCGTGTGGGAGGCAATCAGTCGATGTGTCCCTCTCAGGTCAATGTTTCTCTCTCCCTTTCTCTCCCTCTCCCTCCCTCCCACTCTATCTGAAGATTCTGAAGATTAATAGAAAAAATATCTTCAGGTGATGAATTAAAAAGAAAAAAAGATAGCAGATTCCTGGGCCTACCTATGCTCTGCTGTATCCAAAACAGGGTGGTTGGGTCAGAGATGTGCACATTTTGAACAGTTTCTCCTGTTGGTTGTGCTACTTATCCAAGTGTGAAAAGCACCTCTGTGGAGCAAGGAACTGTGGTTAAATTTTTTAATCTTTTGGGGTTTAATATTGGTGCCGGCTTCTGCATCTCACCTTTAAATATATGTGTCTGCTCCCAGCCGGTCGGAAATGTAATGTTAGAGTAGGTAGTTCTTTGATACATATGAGCAGGGCAGAGAGAGGACAAACTGACCAAAACCCCTGCTCAAATAAACTAGGGAAGGTGAGAACAGAAAACAAAAACAGCCGTCAGAGTTAGACAAGAACAGGGAAATGAAATGCAGTAAAGTCGACTCCCAGCACCGAAAGGACAGTATCTTGCAAGACATCAATAAGCGCAGGGAATTCTAAGAAGCGCACCAGCTAAGCAGACCCAGGAAATTCCAGGGAGCCCACCAGCTGAAGGACAATGGTGTAGGAATATTAGGACAAATTGTGGGAAGGGCAAACATAAGACAGAAGCCGGGACCTAGACCCATTCGGGGCCCTCGAACCTCATTCACCTCATTGGGGTTTGCCCCTCAGAGAGCCCCACGGATGTACTGTTGCTTGAATAAAGCTTCGCCACTTGCTGCAATCACCGGCTCTCGTGTTGAAATCTCTCCTCCGGGAGACGAGAGCCTGGTCTTGCTGATCCCCAGCACCGCTGACAGTTTCAGTTCTTCCTTTTTCAGTAGTATTGTTCAGTGTTTCACACGTGAGGGACCGCACTCATTTCCCAAGGCGGCCATAACAGAGCACTGGGGGCTGGGTGGCTTCAACAAGAGAAATGTGTTGTCTCCCAGTTATGGAGGTGAGAAGCCTGAAGGCAAGGTGTTGCCAGGGCCATGCTCCCTTGAAACCTGTCGGGGGAATCTCTCTGTGCTGCTGCCAGGCTTCTGGTGGTTTGCTGACAATCTCTGAATTTCTCGTTTGCAGCTGTGCGGCTCCATCCTCTGCTTGTCATCACATGGCGTCTTCACGTGGCTGTCTTCCTATAAGGACACCACTCCCGTGGGTTCAGGATGACCTCATCATAACTAATTACATCTGTGACAACTATAGTTCTAAGTAAAGGTACGGTCTGAGGTCCTGGGGTCACGACTTCGACGTGTCCTTGTTTGGGAGACACAGTTCAACCCATAGCAGCCGCTGAAGTAGTTGCCGGAGACGTAACACAGTGAACAGGACAGTGCAGTGATCCTGGGGAGCTTTCCATTTAGCCTGGGAAAGCTGGCAGTGAGCAAGTACACACATCAGTAAGCAGGACCATTTTATATGGGGATGAGTGCTTTGGAGAAAATAAAATTTATTGAGTAGATAATGACGAGGACTGTGATTCGTAAAGGTGGTCCGTACAGCTCCTTCTCAGGGCGTGACACTTGAGCTGACTACTGAGTGACAAGCTTTACTGAAGTCACATGACGACTTTTTCTAAAATTATCAAAACTGTAAGAATCTGAACTTACATATATGTATAAAAACTGTAGCATTTATTGTTCTGATCCCGTGTACCTCACACTGTTCTAAGTGTCTTCACATATTAGTTCAGTTAATTGTCAAAACAAAAACCTGTTAACCTCAGGACGAAAGTTCACAGTGAGAGGTAAGAAACATTTATTTGAGATACAACAGAATAGCTGTTGTGAGGGTCCAGAACGAGTCACCCCAAGATGTGCCTCCGTGGTATGCAGGTTGTTTTCAGCTAAAGGTAATACCGGCTTCAGGCTCAAGAGAAAGTTCTGCCTGTCCCTTTAAGTACCTAGAAGAACTTGAATCTCATAGTAAGAGATTATCAGCCTTCACTCTTTGACCCACCTATATGGCAGGGAAAACTTGTATTTACTCAACATCTCTTCTTCTTATCATCCTACAGTAACCCTTTGAAGCCCCCAAGGTGCATTAACGTATCCCTAGTTCAGAATGCCTTATATACCTCAGTCCCCCTCTCTAGCTCTGAACCTGTGGTGCATGTGGGGATCTCTGACTCTCTTATGTATGTGGGATTCCCACACATACATATGTACTAAATTTGGTTAGTTTCTCTTGCTAATCGCTCTCATGTCTATTTGTACGTTAGACCAACGAGAAGAACGTCGGAGGTAGAAGAAATTATCTTCCTCCCCACACTCTTTACAAAGCACTGATTCAGGCAGAAACCCAAATCGTGTTCTGATTAGGAGATGAAAGCAAGGGGTATTTTATGAGAAAGGGAAGGGAACGAATTACACGTGTCAGCGTAAAACAAATGGGCAAACCTGTAGAGAAATTTTATAAGAGTGTATTTGAGCCAAAATGACGACATGTGCCAGGGAGTAAGATGTCAAATGCAGTGGAGGCAGGGCAGTTTTGCAGTTTCTTTTATGCATTTGAAATTGAGGAGGGAACATAAGAAAGATTACAAGAAGGTGGGAGAGAGCAAGGTGCAATTGCATTACAGGATAATAAACAAGATTATATGCCCTCTTAAGGGTGCTCCTGCCTTGAGGGAAGGGTATTACTTTTGGCATTTCAAGGTGTGTTAACCTAGACGCACAGAACAATGGACAGGGCTGGCTTAAAAACCTTTCAGTAGCCCTGACTGGTTTGGTTTAGCGTTTTAGAGCACTGGCCTGCGGACCCAGGTTCAATTATGGGCCGGGGCACGTGTGTGGGTCGCAGGTTTCCCTGACCAGGGCAATGGAAAAATATCCTCGGATGAGGATTAACAAAACAGTAACCACAAAAACTTTCACTAAAGAAGTTACAGGCCTGGCCCTGACTTGTCTGGCTCAGTTGGTTGAGCATTGTCCCTGCACTGGGTCAGTTCCTGGTCCGGGCACAAGCCTGGGTGCGGGTTCTATCCCCAGTAAGGGTAAAAGAAGTTATAGGCCTGGGGCATGATTACTCGCCATGACCTGCCTAGTTAAGAGTTTATGATTAAAAGGTTTGAGCCGGCGGGAGATCACATCCACAAGCAAGGCCAGTGTAGAGCCAGATGGCTTTATTTCATACGCCTGGGTGCAGGCGGGCTGACTCCTTAACAAAGAGCCCAGCATGGATATCTCTTTGTTCTCTGGTTTTTATAGGCCCAAACTACAGAAACTAAACAAAACAAAACAAAACAAAACAAAAAAAACTACATTTAAAAAAAAACACCCACGTTTTCTTGGCATCGGGTAACTGGTGTCAGGACTGAGACAAGTTGTCTCAGGTAAGGAGTCTGCTTCAGCAGAGGTCTAGGCCATCATTAATCTCATTCTTTTTAGGGTCCCTTCAAGTTTCCCAGGGCCACCATTAACCCCTTATCCTTATGGTTCCTCGGGGTGTCAGTCCCAGGTGTTTTGAAAACTGCTCCGGTGTTTACGTGCAGGAATAACTGGTCGGCGTGGAGTTTAATTCTGTTAAAACATTATTAACCCTTTCATTCAAACCTTATAATGATAAAAAAGGGAAAAGGGCAAAGTTTCTCTTTGTCTACTTCCTGCAGGGGTGGGGTTGACGTGGACTCCTAAAAAGCCTATCCCTTGCAGTTCCCATTCTGCAGCACATGTTCCACAGCTTCTTGCTGGGGTGTCTTCTAGTTGGGGGCTAACCCCTCCATATGTGACCCAGACATCAGGGACCTTTGTGACCCCGACGGCCCCCTTAAGCAGTCACATGGATCAAGGTTGAAGACAGGTTTTGCTATTTCCTTTGTCATAACATTTCTTAAGACCTCCCCCGATACTCCATTCCTAAGTTCCCAGTTCCATTGGGGCCCAGGTCTATAAGGATTCCCCTGAAGAGTCATAACCAGAAAAATCAAAGTCCCCATAAATGCAAGAGTATTATCTGGAGAGGCCTGAACCGTCCATTTTGCTTTTCCCCCCTCAGCCGGGAATGGTGCTGCCAGATGGGGATGCCGTTGACCTTGATATCCCTTGGTGCAGGCAGGGTGACAGTGGATAGTCCCTTCCAGGCCGGAGTTAGTCCCTGGGTGGTGAACTTCTCTACGCACATCGATTCCCCGGGCTGGAAGGGGTACAGAGAGTCTGAGGTGGGCACAGGCAGGCATCGCAGACATGTTTAGGGACAGCTTTCTGGGTGGACTGCAGGGCCTGCAAGAACTGTAAGAGGTGGAGGGGGAGCAGAGTGGTCCAGTATTCACCAGTTTCTAAAGTAAATTTGGTTAAGGTTTCCTTCAAGGTCCTTGTTCATGCGCTCTACCTGCCTGGCACTCTGTGGGCGGTAAGCACAATAGAGCTTCCAATTTATATCTAACCCCTTAGAGATATCCTGTGATGTCTTTGCTATAAGGGCGGGGCCATTGTCTGCTCCAAGGGTCAGGAGTAGCCTAAACCTGCTACTCCCTTGACTACATCCCAGACTGTTATTCCATTACCAAGGGCACGCTCTCCCTCTCTCAGTGTCCTGTTTTGTTCTCTTCTTGAGTACTCCTCCAATGTCCTGTCTTTCTGTAATAGGTATGTCCCTTTCTTTTATCCTTTCTTTTTATTTCCTCTGCATAATTCTTTTTTAACTTGCATAGACCCTCTGCAACTTTCCTAGTTCTTCCCCTGACATGAACCTGAGAGCTTGCTCAATCTATCTGCAGTCTGCACACCCCCCAATTTTCCTTCTCCTCCTCCCTATTCAGACCCACACATTCCTGCTTTCCTCCGCCTTCTCCCTTTCCCTGTGACCTTACTGGACACTGCCTGCCTCTCAGGAGTTGAGTAAGCTTGGTATAACCTAGGTGGGTAGTCTGGTCATAATAATAAGTCTAATGCCACCTTGTATTCAATATCATTTTTCTAATTATCTTGGTCTGAGTGCTTTCAAACTTTATTGTTTATATTGGCATAAAAAGCTTCCACCCCCCACTGTCTCCCTTCCCAGAGTGGGGGATGGTGTTGACATGCAGGTTTAGGTGGGAACACGGGTAGCAAGACAGCTGGTCTGAAAAGTCCCTCCAAACAGATTAGGCACTACACATGAGTAAATCAGACTGGATCAAGGCAAAGCCCCCATCTTTAGCTAGGAAATAATCTAGTGTAATATGATTATCTATTACCATGCAGGCAAGAGAGTCGAGGGTTTTGAAAGAAGCTTGAAATTTTTACCTGTATTTTAATTTATATTTTCCATGGTGGTGGTTATGTTTTTTGCTGTTATGCCATCACAAGTGACTCCTATTATGAGGTGTCCCACTTTTCTTTTTGTCCTATGATGGCTTCTGGGCTCAGGGCCTGATGAAGTTGAATTAGGGATGAAGAAGTGGATTAGGGTATTGGCTGGGGTGACATATCCTATTGCCCATAAGCCATCCTATTTTTCTGGGTTCAGGCATTGAATAGCAATTGCTCTTCGGGGAGCCGCAATGTCTAGTGCACCTAAAAACATCATCCCCGCTGGTAGGCAAAGCAGCCCAGTCATATTTGGGCCTAGGGAGGTGTTTGATACACCCACACAGTAAGGTTCCAAATATTAAACCATGATAGAGGGAGGAGAGGGCTAGTGCCATCACAGAACTACATCCTGGATAGTGACTAATTTTTTTGGTATGATTTTTTTTTTTGGTATTGCATCAAGTCCCTCTGAGCTTGCATATATAAATTTTTATTGTAGGGGTTAGGCATATTATGAATAGTTAGTTTACAGACGCCCCTCACCCCTCATAAGGTTATAGTGAGAGATAGTATACGTGGTGTCTATTTTCATGGTCTGTATTCATACTGAGAATCAAGATCAAGGGAGTTTTTATTTTTCTGCTTCACAGGTTTCTGTCCTCCCTGAGATTGCCTTAGGACACCTGTGTTTATTGATTGACAGGTGTACCACCCTAGTCAAACTCCCCACTAGCACTTTTCCCAGAGCAGGCCACGCCCAGCTGGCAAAGCTGAGCACTTGGTGCCAGAAGCGAGAGCCCCTCAGGGCTCGCCCCCCTCCCCAGCCTCCCTGGGTCATTGAGAAAACTGATTAGAGTAGTGGTATTTCAGTGGTGGCCCACAAGGGGAGGAGGGGTACTAGGGGCTTTTGTTAGGACAGGAAGCAGATTGGAGGAAACAAAGTAAAGAATGAGAGTGGTTGATGGGGAGAGGAGTAAAGGTTAAAGT